ATCGGCCAGGCATGGTGGCTCACGCCTGTAATCTGGGATTACACTTTGGGAGGCTAAGGTGGGATGATCACCTGAGGTCGGGAGTTTGAGACTAGCCTGACCAACATGGAGAAACCCTGTCTCTACTAAAAATACAAAATTAGCCAGGCGTAGTGGCACATGTCTGTAATCCCAGCTACCAGGGAGGCTGAGGCAGGAGAATCGCTTGAACCTGGGAGGCGGAGGGTGTGGTGAGCTGAGATCATGCCATTGCACTCCAGCCTGAGCAACAAGAGCAAAACTCCACCTCAAAAAAAAAAAAAAAAAAAAATCCAATGCATCTCTAAACACTTAATTCAGATTTCAACCCCTCTAAGAAGCCTTCCCCGACACCTCCCTCCCTCTCATCTTCTACATGAGAATCCTCCTCATTAAATGTAACATCACATGTTCTAGATATCTGCAGCAGAGTCTACTTCCCCATGATCAGGAAGATTCTTGACAGCAGGGGATATGTCTTATTTGATGTGGTGTGTACCTACTGCTGGCACAGAGGAGATTTTCAAAACCTAGAATGCATGGGTGAATGCGCGAAGAACAAAGAAAGAAAAACTGACCGCACCATCTTTGTGCTAGAGCCTCAGAGACACAGCAGAATCTGCCCCGCATTACCAGGAGGAGGGCCCAACCCAGCACTTCCTCCGACACACGGCACTTCCCATGTCCACAAGCCACAGTCACTTTATTGGTTTTCTCAGTTTTTTTGGTTTGTTTGTTTGTTTTTTGCCGTTTTTTTTTTTTTTTTTTTTTTTTTTTTTTTTTGAGATGGAGTTTTGCTCTTGTTGCCCAGGCTGGAGTGCAATGGCATGATCTTGGTTCACTGCAACCTCCGCCTCCTGGGTTCAAGCGATTCTCCTGCCTCAGCCTCCCGACTAACTGGGGTTACAGGCGCTCGCCACCACACCTGGCTAATTTTTTGTGTTTTTAGTAGAGACGGTGTTACACCATGTTGTCCAGGCTGGTCTCAAACTCCTGACCTTAGGTGATCCACCCTCTTCCGCATACCAAAGTGCTGGGATTACGGGCATGAGCCACTGCACCCAGCCTGGTTTTCTCATTTTCATCTCAGCCCCTGCTAGGCAACACATGGAAGTGCCTACCATGCAGTCGTTGTGTGACCTCCGTTACTTATCCTTTCTAAGCTTCAGGTTGCCATTAGTTAAATGGACTCTATTTTAGTAGCTACCAAATAGAACTCCTGGGAAAACTGAATGAGATACAATGAGGTGTGTAGTCAGACCTCAGTAAATGGTAGATGTAACGAAGCTGGAAAACTGATTGAGAAATACAGGTAGTGGGAGTTCAGAGTGAAGACGTATTGGAGAACTATTGTCTTCAGTAGAACATCTCCCCCTAAAGTATTCCTTATGTAATCAATAGCTCTGGGAAGCTCCACTGTCATGGTTTCACTGTGTCTGTACCAAAGGCCGTGTTATCCATTCCCTTGCCATTCTCAACCAGTGCCCTCGGGATTGCCGCAGAACAAGAAAAACATAGGGAGAGAAAAAAAATCAGTACTGTGTACTAGGCCAGGCCTTCCCAAGATTTCACTCAGGCTCCTTGAGAAACTGCAGACGTTCACCTCCCAGCTCAACTAGCTGGATGACCCGGGACAAATGCAATTAGTTACAAACACATTTATTCCCAGCCCAAATCCAAAAGCTAATCTTCACCCCAGTTTGGTAATTAGTAGGTGACAGTTTGGAGATTTGAGACTTGCGGATGTGAAAAGTCTGGGATTGGAGGCCGAGACTGTGATTTCTGGTCCTGGATTCTCAATCACATCCATATTCCTCACTCACAAGAGTGTCAGCCAGCAAGCAGGGGGGCCTGAGCCTTCTCTGCTTCAGCATCAATCAATGAGCATTCAGGGGCCACTGCAGGGTGCTTGCTACCCTGTGCTATGGCATTTGAGTGATCCTTGCAGATTTACCCAGTAGAAAAAGAAAACATTACACTAGAAGCAAAGATAATTAGAGCCAGTAGGACTAATCTGGTGAGTAGAGGCCATAGTGTGTTGGAGCCAGCTCTTATGGACTTCCTGAGAGCCGATTGTTAATGCTTCAGAAATTTTGCAAGCCACTTGTTAAATTATCAGTAGCTTGAAATCAGTCATGAGGGGAGAATTTTCACCTGGGAAGTTGGCAGGCATTACAAATCAAGGTTTCTCCCCACCCTTCCAGAACTGGTTTACCAGCACTCCAACAAGGAGTTCCCAAAACAGAGGCTTTAAGGCCAGCTAGGGGGAGCGGGTTTGCATGGAGGCTATGGAGTCACATAGAGCTGGATGACCCGAGGCAAATTACTTAACCCCTCTGAGCCCATTTTCTCTGTGTGTATAGAGTTCGCATGTATTCAATGCTTACTATGTATCAGAAATTATTCTCAAGATTTGTACATATTAATGCATTGATTCCATGAAACAACCCTGTGAAGAAGAAATTATTACTATCACCATTCTGTAGATGAAGAAAATCAAGCCTAAGAGAGATGAAGGAACTCCACCAATATCACACAGCTAGTCAGTGGCAAAGCTGGGATACAAAGACAGGCATCTTGCCCCGGAGCCTGCCTGCCCTCTCACCTTCTAGCTCTGCGCTACACTATACAGCAGCCACTGGCTGCATGGAGCTACCAGGTACTGGAAACAGGGCTGGTGTGAACTGAGAAGTGCTGTAAATGTGAAATACACATTGGATTTCAAAGACCTCATGTAAAAAAGTGTATAAAGTATCTTGCTAATACTATTCACTTACTTGTAGAAATGAGAATATCTTGGCTATACTGAATTAAAGGAAAGATGTCATTACTATTCTTTGCACTTGTTTCTTTTTACATTCTTTTATTTATTTATTTATTTTTTTGAGACAGCGTTTCACCCTTGTTGCCCAAGCTGGAGTGCATTGGCACAATCTTGGCTGGCTGCAAGCTTCGCCTCCCGGACTCAGGAGACTCTCCTGCCTCAGCCTCCTGAGTAGCTGGAATTACAGGTGTGCACCACCATGCCTGGCCAATTTTTAGGAGAGACGAGGTGTTGCCATGTTGGCCAGGCTGGTCATGAACTCCTGACCTCAGGTAATCTGCCTGCCTTCGCCTCCCAAAATGCTGGGATTACAGACTTGAGCCACCGCACCCAGCCTTTTTACTTTTTTTTTAACATGACTAGTAGAAAATGTTGGGCTCGGTGCGGTGGCTCACAGCTTATCCCAGCACTTTAAAAGGCCAAGGCAGGAGGATCACCTGAGGTCAGGAGTTCAAGACCAGCCTGGCCAACATGGCGGAACCCCATCTCTACTAAAAATACAAAAAAATTAGCCAGGTGTGGTGGTACACACCTGTAATCCCAGCTACTCAGGAGGCTGAGGCAGAAGAATCACTTGAACTGGGAGGTGGAGGTTGTGGTGAGCCAAGATCACGCCATTGCACTCCAGCTTATGTGACAGAGCAAGACTCCGTCTCAAAAAGAAAAAGGAAAGAAAAAAAATGTTAAGTGACATTTGCAATTCACATTACATTTCTGTTAAAGAGTGCTGCTGGCTAGTGCCCTAACCTCCTAGCTCAGTGCATGCATTAAATCAGTTAATGCAAGGAGGGCACCTAGCACTCTGCCCAAAACAAATTAAGCACCTAATAGCTACTGTTAATATTAGCGAAAGTATTAGTTTTCAGATGTAGTCCAGTATTTTTTTTTCCCAAACAACTGGGTTTTTTAAAAAAATTTTTTTTAAAGAAAAGTTCTTGCTCTGTCACCCAGGCTAGAGTAAAATGTTGTTATCACAGTTCACTGCAGCCTTGAACTCCTGGGCTTAAACAATCAGCCACCTGAGTAACTAGGACTACAAGCACATGCCACCATGCCCAGCTAACTTTTTCTTTTTTTTTGTAGAGATGGGCTCTATTTTGCCTAGGTTGGTCTTGAACTTCTGGCCTCAAGCAACTCCCCCACTTTGGCCTCTCAAATTGTTGAGATTATAGGCATGAAGCACCAGGTCTGGCTCCCAAATAACTTCTTATAACAGAGAAGAGAGGAGCTCTGATTGCAGTAGTGTAGAACTTGGAGGAGGCCTCTCAAGGAGCCCTTTAGACCTTGGCAGCACCTCAACCAACTGGAAAACCCATAAGGTGATAAAATCTTTAAATGTCCTTCAAGCTTTAGCATTCCCTGTCTATCATTTCAGAGAAGTTGAGGAAGCAGTATGCGAAAGAATTAGGTGTCGATGGCAGTATATTACAATGATTACGGAAAAACACTCCCTTTCTGCTTGGGAAAATCAAAATGGTTTGTTCCCAGGTCTAGGCACAGCCCAGAAATGGAAGCATCATGGATGTGAGTTGGGGGTCCCCTGTGGGCTCCTGGATCATTACCTATGCACCTTCACATGGACAACACCAATGTACCATGTCACCTTCTCCACTTCAGCTCAGTCACAACCTGCCAATCTCCCACTTACCCAGGACCTGGGCAGACCACACACAGGCTCTGTGTGCCAATATCCTAGTCAAGCCCCAAGGCCAGGCAACAGTGACACTCAGCCCAGGCACCACAGTGATTTTGCTGTCCTGAAGGCAACTTTAGGCTCAACCAGCCCCGGTGTCTGCCAGGCAGGCTCCCAATTCTGCCCCCAGCCCTCGCCCCTGGCTCTGGTATCGTATGTGTGGACAGGGAGAGCAGCCAACTCTTCGCCGGGCTCTCTAACAAGTTCCGCGGGTCTGTTTGTTAAAGAAAAATTCCAGTGGGTGCATCCAACACATGGAACTCAAGTACAGAAATTATATTTATCCGCCCCACTGCCAAGGAGATCACATGCCCCGTGAGTCACTCCAGATGTGCTCAAAAACAGTCTCTCTCTGTGGAAGCCCAGTCCCCCAATCCCAGAGAGAGTCAAATGAAGAGAGGTACCGACTCCTGCCCCACCCAGGACGCAACCTTCAGCCTGCAGCCTTCTGAGGCAAAGTAGGCATTCCTGCACATCTGCAAAAGGAAGGGAGAGAAGCACTTCGTCATCTCACTGGGAAGAACAGCAAGGGCATACCTGCAGCTACTGAGGTTCCATTGGGCTTGAGAATCAATTTTTCATCTTTTGAAGGACAAGATGCGTTGGAAGATATTGCTGCTTCTACTGCTGTATTACAATGCTCAGGCTTCTGTGTGCCACAGGTGGAGTAGGGGTGAGTTGCTTTTAATTCATTTGTTTGCTTGATGCTCATTATTTTTTTCCTAAATGCAATTCAAAATTTGGAGGGAAGGACCTTAGGAGCCCCGCACTCTTCCTTTATCTAATCTGTCAATTACTTGATGCTTCTTGACGTGTTCCCACTTCTTAGAGGCTGATGGGAAAATGACACCGGAAAAATTCAAAGCCCCTGAGGGAACTAGGTCGAGGCGGAGAACCCAGAGAGCACCCCTTTCTGGCATCCCAGATAGAATGCATTTCTGCTTCATAGAAAGTGGAACTCATTTCTTCGAGCGCCCCCACCACCCGCAGCAGTTGGGCCAGATCGTCTGAAGAGCAGGTCCTGAGGTCTGCTGCTAAAATGATGGAGTGGTGGGGGCTGGGATGCCAAAGGCCTGCTCCCCGGGGGAACCAGAGCAGAGGCTCTGTAGGACATTGCCTCCTGACCGGGAAGGGACGCATCTCTGCAGCCAGGTAGAGGTGGGCAGGTGAGCAGAGCAACACTTCTCCCTCCATGTGCATGCTCCGCTGCTCCCACCAGCCCCATCACCTCCTCACAAAGGAAGGGGGCTCAGCAAAGCCTGTTCTCTCACGACTGACTTCCCTCCCTTCATGATGTAGTTCCTCAGAGCTGGATGGCATCTTTTCTCCATTTCCCTGAGACTGGCTCTGCTTGGTAGACACCGGGAGCACTCAGACCAGAGTTGATCACTGTTAGGAAAGGAGGGACCCACAGCACTGGCCACTCTTCACCAGTATGAACGGAAATCTTTCCACTCTCTAAAGTCAACTGAGTTCACTCTCCTGGAAAGAACTGCAAGAAGGGGCTTCTTCAAGTCAGGCCAGCCGGTGTTTCCAGAGATGCAAAACTCGAAGACAACCGGCCTGGTGGCATGGACGTGCCTCCTGCTTGCTTCTCAGCGACAGTGTCGGGGAAGGAAGGAGTGCCGGGAGTGGGGATAGAGCAGCACAAGAGAAGGATCTGGAATGGGAGGGAGGTGAAAGCCACTGTACTTATTTTGGGTTTTATTTCCTCATAGTTAACCTAATATCAGGTTAAGCCTGATAATAGGGACTTATATCTCTAACAGGGATATGTCTTTTGACCTGGGCTGTGAAGTGATCATTGCCCAGAAACAAATAATACAGCATTCTCCGTTTTCTCATAACATTTGCATACATGTGCACATATACACATGTACACCCCTCTCTTTTCTTTAATTTTAATTTTAAATTTCTGTGGGTACATAGTAGGTATATATATTTCTGGGGCCCATGAGATGTTTTGATACAGGCACACAATGCATAATAATCTCATCATGGGAGATGGGGTATCCATCACCACAAGCATTTAGCTTTTGTGTTACAAACAATCCAATGATACTCTTTTAGTTATTTTTATTTTTTATTTTATTCATTTATTGAGATGGAGTCTCACTCTGTTGCCCAGGCTGGAGTGCAATGGTGCAATCTTGGCTCATTGCAACCTCTGCCTCCCAGGTTCAAGCCATTCTCATGCCTCAGCCTCTCAAGTAGCTGAAATTACAGGCATGCACCACCATGCCTGGCTAATTTTTGTATTTTTAGTAGGGATGGGGGTTTCACCATATTGGCCAGACTGGTCTCGAACTCCTAACCACAACTGATCCGCTCACCTCAGCCTCCCAAAGTGCTGGGATTACAGGCGTGAGCCACCTTGCCCGGTCCTCTTTTAGTTATTTTTAAATGTAAAATCAAATTGTTATTGACTATAGTCACCCTGTTGTCACACCTCCCTCTTCATGATGTGCATAAACTTTGGGACAGTACTTGGGAGTAAAGAGCAAAAAGATCTTGGAGTTGGGTTCTGTCACTACCCTCTTTATCACACTGGGGATTTGCCTCTTACACGTGATAATGATGCCCATTCTTCCTAAGGCACAGGATGCTAGAAAGCCAGAAGGAATGATCTGACTTGCAATATGGCTTGTAAACATGAGAACCACATCATGAGTTACTCTGCAAGAGACCTGATTTAAGTTCTATCTCTGTTTGGCAATGTGATCTCAGACAAGTCTCTTAACCTCTCTGAGCTTTAGTTCACTAACAGGTGACATTAACATCCATCACATCAGTAAAACTTACCCTCATAATGTTACTGTGAGGGTCATATTCAAAAATATAGATGAAAATGTTTTGTAAATGACAAAGTACAATATAAATATTAGATATTACCTACCAGTTTTTGAAAAATAAAAATTTTTCACTAAAGGAAGTTTGAGGCTCTTAAAGGGGAATCTACAGCAATATTCTGGGAGCAATTCCTCCGGCCCACGTTCTTCCGCATTGGGAAAGGTCGGCCCCCAGTGAGGTCACAATCCACAGACTCAAAGCCAGCCTATCTTGAGGCCACAGTGAGGCAGCGGATGTGAACTGCTAGATTAATGGCTCAAGTCAGTGCTCAGAGTCAACAAATGATATGGAGGCCCTCCAGCCATCATCAAATGTCTTCCACGTAGTGGATATTTTTTTTTTTTCGTTTTTAACATTTTTTTCTAATTATAAAAGAAACACACAATTCTTGCCATCTTTTTTTTTTAAAGACAGAATAGGAGTTACACCCAAATGAATAACAGTTTTTCCAGATACATTATTCATTTCACCTTCATCCTTACCCCACCCTGACTCCAGCCCCAGTTCAAAGTATTCCCTTTGGAAACAGTCTGAGGGCAATCTCTTCTGGGGATTTTCCTCTTCTACCCCCTGCCCTTTGGCCCCCAACCCCTTCACCACTCCCCTTCCATCCCCCCACCCTCCTGCTCCAATACGTTGGAATGTAGATGTAAACCCACAGGCAATATACACCTTGCTGTCAGGACAGCCTTTTTCCTACCATACTCCCAGCCTTTCTCTAAGCCAGGCGTCCCCAAACTTTTTACACAGGGGGCCAGTTCACTGTCCCTCAGACCGTTGGAGGGCCACCACATACTGTGTTCCTCTCACTGACCACCAGTGAAAGAGGTGCCCCTTCCTGAAGTGCAGCGGGGGACTGGATAAATGGCCTCAGGGGGCGCATGTGCCCCTTGGGCCGGGCTGTAGTTTGGGGACACCTGCTCTAAGCACTCTCTAGGATTCCACCCTGGGAGGCAGTTTTCCACAACAGGATCCAGGATCACCCGTTCCAGCCCCACCAGTTTGATTAAGACCAAATGACTCACCTGTGGCCAAGCCAGGAAAGCCACATCTAAACACACACACACACATACACACACACACACACACACACACGAGGTGGCCCACATCCTAGCACATACCAGGTCCTGCCAGGGCACCACTGAAATGGGGAGCACTAGCCAGACTTGAAAAAGAAATATGCATCTATTAATGAATATGAATATCTTGCATCTATTAATGAATATGGATATCTATGCTTTTGTTGAATACATGCAGATTATTTTTTAGGTAGTTTAATAGAGCAGCCCTTCCATTTTTTGGTGGAACTTACATGATTTTCAGGTGTCCATTTTAGGGTTGCGTGTATTCTCAGTCACGAATGTTCCACGAGGGAAGGGCCTGTGGTCGGTACTTAGTAAGTACTCACTGACTGCTGGGCATGGTGTGCATGCTTGTAAATTCCAGTGACTCAAGGGACTGAGAGGACAGGAGTTCAAGACCAGCCTGGAAATATAGTGAGACCCCATCTCTTAAAAAAATTAAAGTTAAAAAAAAAAATTAGCTAAGCATAGTAACATATGCCTGTAGTCCCAGCCACTCAGAAAGTTAAGGTGGCAGGATCACTTTGGCCTGGCAGGTGAAGAATGCAGAGAGCTAGGATTACACCACCGCACTCCAGCCTGGATGGCAGAGCAAGACCCTGTATTCAAAAAGAAAACTGTCTTAAGTATTCACTACCCGAGTGCCCCGTACAGAGCCATCTCCTCGCTCCACAGTAACTCCATGAGGCAGGTGTCATCCTGACCATTTATAGGTAAGAAAACTGGAGGGTGAGGCAAGAAACGAAGTGCCCCAGTTCCCCAGCTGCAAGGGCAGGGTTGGGTTTGATCTCCCAGGTCCATCAGCCATCAGAGTGTCCCGTCCTCATTCATCTGCTCTCCGTATTTCTCCATCCACCACGGGCCACTCACCTGCTCCTGGCAGCTCCAGGCTCCCCCTGCATGGTGGAGCTTTCCAGCAAGAGGAGCTGGCTGCCACAGCTCTTTCGGGAGCTCTCCCAGAGGACCCCCATGCACAGGGCCGAGACCCTGTCTCTCAGAATAGTAGTGTGTTTCCAGAGGGCTGGCCCAGGAGCCAAAAAGTAGATGACATCAGTCAGCTCTGGCAAAAGATCTTTTACAAACGAGAATCTTTCCTTTCCACACCCACTGTCCTTTCCATCAAGTTGCTTCAACTGATTCATTAAAAATACAGTTGTAGTTTGGCTTGAGATGCTCTACAGCTTGAATCCTTTCCAGCCAGCTCTTTGCCACAAATGCTACACACAGTTCGGTAGAAAGCGTGGTTAGCCTGAATACTGAGCTACCGAACACATTGGAGTGATGGGAGGAAAGAAGACGAAAGAGACTTTTAACCCGGATTACAAAAAGTCAAAGAGAAGGTCAGACTCCCAAACAAAGGCAGGCTGCTCCACTGGAGTGCCTCTGGCTGTTTGTCTAGGCAAGAAAGCTTTGAAGGGCTGAGGTGCGGGGAGGTAGGGGACGTCACTCACTGAGATAAAGTTAAAAAATAGCTTCTTCCAGGGATAAGGAGAGGGTGTGGTGGAGACCAAAGTCGACATGTACTTTCTGATCATTAGCCAAGACTGAAAACTGCAAATAAACTCCAGATTCACCCTATTAGAGAAAGAAGGATTTGGGGCCGGGCGCAGTGCTCACACCTGTAATCCCAGCACTTTGCGAGGCTAAGGTGGGTGGATCATGAGGTCAGGAGATCGAGACCAGCCTTACCAACATGGTGAAATCCTGTCTCTACTAAAAATACAAAAATCAGCCGGGCGTG